TGGTGTTGCACAAGAGGGAGCATGGGCCAGCTCACTCCTTTGTTAGTGTGTTGGCTCTGCAGGGCTAGCCACAGTGAAAAGCAATAAACATTGTATTCCTATCACTAACAAAGTGCATAGACCTCTGAATACAAAAAAGGGACCAAGAAGCTGTAAGAAGGTGCCATGATTACATAACCACTTTTTAGAACTGAACCATATTCTGTTGAGTTAAGATCAAAAGTGGAAAACACTATATAAGAGCTAGGTATTAATGAATTAGTATTATTAATGACCTCACAGGGACAGTCTCCTGCTGCCTCCTCCCAAATAACAGTTGACAAAATCAAACAGGACCATGTGTACATGCATGAATCCATGTGCGCACCCACACATGTTGCCAACTGGCCACATACATGGAACTCCCAAAGAGACTAGTTTCCCGAAAGTATAGATTTCTGTCCAGGGACAGCAGGCCCGTTCAGTCTGCTGGTAGAGAGAATTGTTATAAATGAACAGGTGTTACATATTGCTGCGAAAAGCAGCTTTATGTTGGGAATAATATTCATCAGGGTATGAGTGGTAAGGCTGGGTAAAAATATTCCATGAACACTATTTTTTGATGAAAAATTGTTTTTTGACAAAGTGAAATTGTTCACAAAAGGTGTTTGCTTTCCATGGAAAATTTTGACACTTTGTCAAAAAACTGACCACCTGAAAACCAAATGGTTTTCCTTTTGGGGCCCAAACCCCCAAATTTTGATTTGGAAATACTGCCATAGAGTCTCATAAGAGCTGCGACTGCCATGATGCACTGTGGCATCTCAGCAAGAGGGAAGACTCTGGTGCATCATGGGAGATGTGGTCTGCTCAGGTAGTCCAGTCCATAGAAGATAAGGGGGGCATGAGGCACCTGAACTATAACTCCCAGGAGACACTTTGGTGGCATTTCTGATTTGAAATATTCAGCATTGATCTGAAAGATTTTGGCTGAAAAATTTCAGGTTTTGATTTTTTTTGTCTAACAGTTGAAATTTTTCATGGAAACCCCCCCATTTTCTGACCAGCTCGAATGAATAACATTGTGCGCCATCTGAAAAGATTTACTAAATCTCTATTTTGATACAGAAGGGCCTGTATAACATACTTTGTTACACGTGAAATAATAAACAGGAGTCTGACTCATGTTTCAGGGGGCTGATATTCTTTTGTAACTCCCAGTCATTTTGTTTTTACCAAACAAAACCTGGAAAGTTTCAGGGAAAAGATTTGTAACAAAAACAACTACCAACAGCGTAAGAAAAATATCTTTGTTATTAAGAATACATCATATAATCATAATCATTTTTATACACATTTTAGTATTTCATATACTTATTATAAATAACATGAGCGGTGTACAAAATGTGTAACTGGAACAAAGTTGTGAGTCTTGGCAAATTAAAAACAAATTAATGGACTCAATTTTCATCTTCCATTGACGTCAGTGGGATTCTAATTTATTAGCTATGAAATACAACCAGGAAGTGACTTGATTAGAGACTCTTTTACACAGTGATACCCACAAGGGAGGAGGACTAGCTCAGTGGTTTGAGCATTGGCCTGCTATACCTAGGATTGTGAGTTCAATCCTTGAGGGGGCCACCCAGGGATCTGGGGCAAAATGAGTACTTGGTCCTGCTAGTGAAGGCAAGGGGCTGGACTCAATGACCTTTCAAGGTCCCTTCCAGTTCTAGGAGATAGGATATCTTTAAGCTATTACTTGAATGTCACTTCAATTTCCATTTTTTGTTTCCTGGTTTTCTGATTTACCATGACTACACTGGAAATTTTCAGGCCATACTTTTTGCTTTACTATTCCAGCTTTACAAGAATGGCTAATCTCATATTAACTTTGTACACTGTTGGGAGAGTCAAAAATTTCTTCCAGCTTTGTTGATCTAATTTTGTTAAAAACTAATACCAACTCATTAACAATAAGAATTCTGCCCATTACTACGCATCTGAAAATGTTTCAATTAAATATTTATTTCAAATATTAATAAAAGAATGAACTTTTTACCTTAGTATCCTTCTCTTTTAAATGTAGCACATTTTTAATTCATCAAAACAATATTTCTTTCTAATAAAATTATACATGGTATTTAGCTAGATGAAACAAAGTTGTCATGTGCATGAGACTAAGTAATGAAACTAGCCAGAAGGTTGGCTGTTACTGTATCCATATGTTGGGATCTTGTTTTTTGTTGTTGTTTTGTTTTGTTTTTTTGTTATTTTAAGAATTATAAAGGAGTAAGTATTTTACAATTTTAAAAAACCTCATCTTGAATCTGGAATCTATTTATCTTATCTGGATTTTCAATGCTTCAGGTAGGTCACAGAAAATACCTAATTCCTTACCTTTTAATCTGAGGATTTGTGTGTGTGTACATGTATATAAGTCTCTCTCTCAGAATCTTAAACTGAACAATTTCTGCTATAACTCCTTTATTGTGAAAAATATCATATGGTTAACTGAAAATATAAGAAGAAAGGTCCACCCAAAAGATATCTGCTCTGTAAGCACACCTAGGGCTAGATCATCCCAGAAGAGGTCACCCTGCCAGAGGAACTCCGCCTGCAATGTGAAAATGGCAGACCTTGCTCAACAGCACCATCCCCAAGTCCCTGGGACCCAACCAAGGCACGCTCGGGGGTTGGGAATCCATGGGGTGATCAGGGGGAAGAGAAGAAAGCCCAACATGAGACCAGAAGTACTGGTCAATTAAATCTCCTACCCCAGAAACCTACTGGGTGTTTGCTCAAGAAGTAACACCTTAGGCCGCATAACATTTTCCATGGTTACCCTCCTTTTAAGGATGCCCCAAGAGGAGTGGCCAAATAGGGAAGCCCATTCAGCACTGCTTCCCCAGAACTGGACTGCCACAGATGATGTGGATAGAAAACTGGCTAGATCGTCGGGCTCAACAGGTATTGATCAATGGCTTGATGTCTAGTTGGCAGCCGGTATCAAGCAGAGTGCCCCAGGGGTCGGTCCTGGGGACGGTTTTGTTCAACATCTTCATTAATGATCTGGATGATGGGATGGATTGCACCCTCAGCAAGTTCGCAGATGACACTAAGCTATAGAGAGAGGTAGATACGCTGGAGGGTAGGGATAGGGTCCAGAGTGACCTAGACAAATTGGAGGATTGGGCCAAAAGAAATATGATGAGGTTCAACGAGGACAAGTGCAGAGTCCTGCACTTAGGACTGAAGAATTCATGCACTGCTACAGGCTGGGGGCCGACTGGCTAAGTGGCAGTTCTGCAGTAAAGGACCTGGGGATTACAGTGGATGAGAAGATGGATATGAGTCAACAGTGTGCCCTTGTTGCCAAGAAGGCTAACAGCATATTGGGCTGCATTAGTAGGAGCATTGCCAGCAGATCGAGGGAAGTAATTATTCCCCTCTATTCAGCACTGGTGAGGTCACATCTGGAGTACTGCATCCAGTTTTGGGCCCCCCACTACAGAAAGGATGTGGACAAATTGGAGAGAGTCCAGCAGAGGGCAACAAAAATGATTAGGGGACTGGGGCACATGACTGATGAGGAGAGACTGAGGGAACTGGATTTATTTAGTCTGGAGAAGAGAGGAGTGAGGGAGGATTTGATAGCAGCCTTCAACTACCTAAAGGGGAGTTCCAGAGAGGATGGAGCTAGGCTGTTCTCAGTGGTGGCAGATGAGAGAACAAGGCGCAATGGTCTCAAGTTACAGTATGGGAGGTCTAGGTTGGATATTGGGAAACACTATTTCACTAGGAGGGTGGTGAAGCATTGGAATGGGTTACCTAGGGAGGTGGTGGAATCTCCATCCTTCGAGGTTTTCAAGGCCCAGCTTGACAAAGCCCTGGCTGGGATGATTTAGTTGGGGTTGGTCTTGCTTTGAGCAGGGGGTTGGACTAGATGACCTCCTGAGGTCTCTTCCAACTCTAATCTTCTATGATTCTATGAGTGGGAGAGGCATGGATGGCCTTGGCCCCTGGCAGAGCCCTATACACAGGTTGTGGGGGCTCATCCTCATGCCTGTTCCACTGGAGACAAGGGCCTGCAGAAAACCTTGTGCCCAACCAATGGAGTGACATGATGGAAATTCCACAAGGGGAACCTCACTAAGGCTCATATTCAGGAAGGTACTTAAACATGTGTTTAGTAATCCCCATAGATGTCAATGGGACTATTTGCCCACTTAAAGTTAGGCATGTGCTTAAGCAACTTCCTGATTCAGGGTCAGAGTTCTCCTCTCATGGGTACTGCTGTACACCAGGGCATCTGTCCCTTTGGGTGTCCAGAAGCTTGAATTTGTTGTTTTCCTACAACTGAAAAAGCAAAGCTTAAAACTAAAACAGATGCCTTATTTTAGATCACATTTTCTTTGGGGGGAAAAAATCTTGATTGATTTCTAAAACATCCTGTTCAGTAGTTTGTGTTCCAAAAAACCCTGCAGGTTATTAATGTATGGAGAATATCAACCTGATCCAGCAGGTTAAGTGCATGACATAATTGTATGTATGGGTACATATATAGTTTAAGAAAGTGACTTATACATAGTTGCCTACATGAAATTAACTAAGGGCAGGTCTACAATATAGGGCTAAGTCGACCTAAATTACACAACCCCAGCTACGTGAATAACGTACCTTAGGTCAACGTACTGCAGTGTCTACACCACGCTGGGTCAACAGGAGAAATTCTCCCGTCGACTTACCTTATGCTTTTTGTTCCAGTGGAGTACCAGAGTCGACGGAGAGTGATTGGCAGTCGATTTAATGGGTTTTCACTAGATCCAGTAAATCGACGCCCGGTGGATAGATCACCGCGCGCCGATTCCCCGGTAAGTGGACACAAGCCCTAAGTGGGCCATATAAGACCATCTAACGAGGGGGACCAGATGTCCTGATTTTATAGGGACAGTCCCGATTTTTGGGTCTTTCTTATATAGGCTCCTCTTATCCCCCACCCCCTGTCCCGATTTTTCACATTTGCTGTCCGGTCACCCTACATCTAATGCTGGTTTACGTCTTCTATTCTGATGACTTAAAGATTATTCCACTTCTAGACACACCTTCTTTCCCAGAACCCCAACCACCATTGCTTGGTTCTCAAAATATTTCAATCTGCAGCTCACAGAACTCTTCAGAGCATTGAAGGTCCATGGGCTACTGTAATTAGCCTAATCTTTACCGATTATGTAGTCAGTTCTTTTTAATATGGGATATACACTCAAGAAAACAGGAATGAAGAAAAAACTTATTCCATATAATCTGCAGAAATATACCCATAGGACGGAATTGAAAAGGTATCTGAGGAACTGACAAGTCCCCCAAAGAAAATTTGCAAATTTCACAAATGTCAAGATTTCCTGAGATTCCTGGCTCCTCTGCTGACACACTGCGGGGCTAATATTAAGAGTTTGAATTACATGGTTAATATAATATGGGCATGTCTATCCTGCAATTAGACACCTGCGACTGGCCCATGACAGCTGACTCGGGCTAACTGTGGTGTAGACATTTGGGCTCAGGGTGCAGCTTGAGCTATGGGACACTCTCACCGAGCAGGATCCCAGAGCCCAGGCGCCAGCCTGAGCCTGAACATCTACTCTGCAATTAAAATGCCCCTTAGCCTGAGCCCTGCGAGCCCAAGTCAGCTGGCATGGACCAGCCATGGATTTTAATGGCAGTGTAGCCAATGTGGACAGTACTACTGGTATAGGAATTATAGTCGTTGCCCTCAGGAAGGGAGACATGAAAGGGGACCCACCCCCCAAAACCCCCAACCAACCCACGCATCTTGGAAAGGTGCCGCTTATATCACTGTCCATACTTGCTCTAGGAAGAACATACAAGCCCTGAAGATGAAGTGGAGCAATGAGGGGTTTTCTTTTGCATTTGTCACAGGAAAGCTGTTTTCTTAACACTACAAGTTCTGTAGTAAGAGGAGCCATGCAATAAAATGTTTGTGCTTAATACACTGGAAAAACTGTTTAGATTATAATGGTGGCAAAGTGACTGCCAGGTTCAGTAATCTGCCAGGAGTGGTAATATACATTGTAGATGATTCTGGGTACACTAACCTGTTGATCCAACTTTTCAGTATGGAAAGGTGTGAGGAATGGGTTCCCTATGAATTCTTCAATCCTGCTTTCAAACAACAATTTTCTCTCTGGCCCCAGGGCAGCGACGTGACTTTCTCCAGAGTTCACCCATGCCATCCCAAGCACCAGCTACAGTGTTTGGTCATATGTATTCCTTTAACCACTCTTCTTCATTATATACTGAGTGAAAGATGTACAACTATATACTTGTGACATAGTACACTTAGAAGAACACCAGTTACCTTCAACTCATACAGCCGATGCTTGTGCTACAATCTGTAGAAACAAATTGGATGAAAATTCTTTTGCAAACATTAGGCCTCATTCTGATGTCATGTACATCAGTGTATCACCATTGAATTCAGTGGGATGACTTTCACAGGTGTGAGTGAGATCGGAATCAGTTAGTGTACCCCTAGTCATCTACAATGTATATTGCCACTCCTTTCCTATAACTGAACCTGACAGTCAGTTTGCCACCATGAGGGTTAGTTGATTTTATCTGTGTTAATCAGCAAACTTGTTTCATTCACACCAGTTCTTCCTCTTAGTAAGTTTCCTGCTCCCTTGCCCACCCCCATATCACGTATAGTCCATATTCTCTCATTGCACAGCCAGAAATCTGTTGCTGAATAGATCTGACTGCCTACACTGGATGAGCAGTGGGGTATTTTTAAGGGACAAGCAGGAGTAGTTTTAGGACACACGCATCTCCCAGGTTTACCTCAGACCTCATTGTATGACACTTCGGACTAACGCTTAGCCAACTAATTTCCATTACAATAATGTCTACATACACAAAGCACAAAAACTGACACAGGCTGGAATGTATGTAACCACCACTAGTAGATGTCCCTGTAAATAGAGAAAGCTACAGGACATGGGGACAAGAAAAGAGAAAACTGGAAAATTATATATATATTTTACATCATCAGTGCATTTTTATACTGTACAACTCTGAACATCTCTCCTTGCTATAAACCTAGCTAATGATGGGCTGTTTTGTGCATCCTAGAGTCTTTGGGTGCAATTCTTTGCTTATAGTCCTCTCCAGATCCAAAGTCTACTGTGTCATGATAGTTTGTAAATTCCTGAGGTAATGGAAACTCCTCTGCTGATGAGTGAATCCTGTGTCCAAACACTCGCTCCTGAAGTTCAGCAATATCATTTCTGATGTCTGCCATCATCAGCAACAGAAAATCGAATGAGCCTGGTGGGCCCTGCAAACATGACGTGTGATCATTAATAATACTTATTACTTAAATTTGTTAGTCTCTAAGGTGCCACAAGTACTCCTGTTCTTCTTTTTGCGGATACAGACTAACACGGCTGCTACTCTGAAACTTATTACTTAGTGCTTTGATATTTTCAGGAGCGGCACCAGGGTTTTTGCCGCCCTAGGCGGCAGCGCTCCTCCTCTGAGCATTCGGTGGTGGGGGTCCTTCCGCTCCGCATCTTTGGGGCACTTCGGCGGTGGCTCCTGGAGTGAGTGAAGGACCCGCCGCCGAATTTCTGCTGAAGACCCGGAGCGGAAGGACCCCCCGCCGCCGAATTTCCGCCGAGGATGGCAAAATGCCACCCCCCAAATCCTGCCACCCTAGGTGACCGCCTAGAGTTGCCTAGTGGAAGCGCTGGCCCTGGATATTTTCCAAGCACTGCCCAAATATTAACGTAGTTATGCTCGCTGGGGTACTTTGACAAAACATTGCTTGGTGTTGGCTGTCTGAAATAAAACTTTTCCCCTTCAATCAACCTGGAATAACTCAGAAAAGCACCTTCAAACAGCAAATGCATTTAGCACACAGGGCTCCATCCTGCAAGATGCTGAACACTTCTGTGAGTAGCCAAATGCCTTCAACCTCTGCGGGCATCAGCCCTCATCATCTCAGAAGACGACTTTGCACTGAGCAGGCACAGAGCATAGTTCAGAGGAGATTCTTTTCCTCATGTTCCTTCTATTTTAAAAATTAATGACGTACTTTTTATGAATGGAAGATTTATAATAAAATACAATCGATAGGAGAAACTGAATTTTAAAATGAATCCGTTTCTCTACTGTGACCCAAATGCTGTTTTTCAATGACTAAATATGTTTCCATCTGTAAAAATGTTTCCATCTGTTTTTATCTCATTTAACAAAACCATAACGTTTTTTTAAGTTCTCTTCACATGGATAAGTGCACAGTAGCAGATAAGTGCCTAGTGAGATTTTCAAACGCATGCCAGTGCCTAACTCCATTGGGAGTGCTTGGTCTGCTGCAGAGGGCTGAATTTCACCCTGACTGAATAAGTATATAGAGTCATAGACTTTAAGGTCAGAAAGGACCATTATGATTGTCTAGTCTGACCTCCTGCACAACGCAGGTCATAGAATCTCACCCACTCACTCCTGTAATAAACCCCTAACCTATGTCTGAGCTGTTGAAGTCCTCAAATCATGGTTTAAAGACTTTAAGGTGCAGAGAATCCTCCAGTAAGTGACCCATTCCCCACGCTGCAGAGGAAGGTGAAAAAAAACCCATGGCCTCTGCCAATCTGCCCTGGAGGAAAATTCCTTCCTGACCCTAAATATGGCAATCAGCTAAACCCTGAGCATGTGGGCAAGACTCACCAGACAGACACCCAGGAAAGTATATGAGAACAAATACTCTGCATTGCATCTATCTCTTCTTCTTCTTCTTCTTCTTATCTTTATTTGTTAATTGCACCAAATCCCAATTAATCCCTTCTTATTGGCTGGTGTTCCTTTTAAGCAAACTGTTTGCTAATGCTGTCCCAATCAAGCATCTGTTTCTGCCATTTACTATTATTAAGCTAACTAGTTCTATGGGAGATGTCCCAGGATAGTGCCTTCTAACGATGTACAGTACACCATGATGGCATGGCGATGCAGCGTATCCACTGAAGAGAGAACAGGGTACATAGACAAATGTTAGGCTTGATGACATTTAGGTACAAAATACTGATACAATAACAGAGACATAGAGGGATTGCTTTCACCATAGGTATCTGACTGTGACATTGTTACTAGATCATGTCCTTTCTCTACTTGGGAAATCCTAGTTGGCTGGCAGTGATACTTACAGGTGGCCCTTTTGGTCCTGGTGCTCCTCTCTCCCCCTGTAATAAATACCATTTTAATTAGCTGTGATTAAAGCAAGCAGAAAATGACATAGCTTTGCCTCAACTGAGGCACTCATTCATCTCTGTGGATCAAGAATCCCTTGGTAACTATAGGCTTCATCCATTAAGGTGATGTAAACTAAGAGGAACAGGTAGAAAAGCTTCCATCTAGCCTATGCACTGAGGATTGAATCAGGGACCTCCAGAACTTCAAGCAAAAGCTCCTAAAAGCTTGAGCTAAAGAGCCAACCCTCCCTAGTTCAGTCTGTAATAGACTCATATCCCAGGCACACTGGGGGACCTGACACACTCTCTGCCCAGTGGGTTACACAGGTGCTGCAGGCTAATAGGCCAGCTAGAACATTTGCCCAGCATATGCCATGACGCAATTAGCAGCTGGCTGTGAGAGCTAGGGGTTGCGTGGAAACCTCAGACACATTTCTTTGTCAGAGGCTGGTCTTCACGGCTGTCTCAATTCTCACTTCTATGTACAGCTCTGAAGCCTGTTTAAATATCCTATAAGTGGCTGCTAAGCACCCACTTTGCAGTCACTGGATTTAAGAACTGATGCCCTAGCTACATGCTCACCCACTTTCCCCCAATTCAACGGGGCTTGTTCACTGTAGGTGTAGAGGTTTTCACATATTCCTCCTCACTAGGCAGAAGCACTAGCACAGAGCAATTACTCAGTATACGCATTATTGCTTGTGTCTCCATGCTTTCCACAACCACACTCAGCAACTTGTAAACATACACCCTATTAAATACCCCTGAAGGCAAAATTTCAAATCTTGGCTGGCACAGGGATCTACAGAAGCAGTCAATTTCTGAAAGGTTTGTAGAAAACAAGGTTTACAAAATGGCACCAGTAGTTTTCCAATAGCCTGAAGTTATTTTAAAAATAATAAATAGTAATTGTCAGTCAAAATTGGTGCTGGTTCTTAAGGACATTCACTGATTTTTATGATTTATAGAGTTCATCATAAAAAATACAAGGAGAGAGTATTGACCACAGAGGAAATCACATTTCACTAGAGGAGAAAGACTTTACTCACTTATTATAACACCGTAATAATTATTTGATTGAAGAGCAGATGTTTTGGGTCCCCAGCCACAAGTAAAACTAAGCGTTTGTTACCATTGTTATACATGTCAGACAAAAGCTTTCCAAATACAATTAGGTTTTTTTCAGAAGGTATTCAGATCAATAGGAAATGCCATGTTTGCACAATCTCTTAAGATAGAAAATCAGCCTTAAAAAAACAACCAAAAAAGAAGCCTTAGGAAAAAAGAGATCAGAAGGACATAGGCCCTGATACTCAAAGGTACTGGGTGACTAATTCCCATGGAAATTAATGGAAATTAGGCCCCTAAATACCTTTGCATACCTGGGCCATAGTCACCAAGAGAAAAGAGTGAGGAATTAGAAGATTTGGATCAGTCAGATGGAAGAGGCAGAAATTGCATCAGAGGGAAGACAGAGATCAGAAATCAGTATGAAGAACTAAATACATGTCATGCATGTAACAACAGAAGTGAGAGAGACGTGAGCACTTTCTACTGGAATTTTAGGAAGAGAAGTTTCATATCATAGAAGTAATTAGAGCATATAAAGATAAATTGGTTGATTACTTCCAAAATGGCTGTGATTATCTTTTCTAAAATATGTTTTTATTTATGACCCAGAGACAGATAGTGCCACACACAATATGTATAAGTTTAATAAGATGGCCATCGCATTATAAAAACAATTAAATGTAGGAGCACTTATGTTCCAGCTGTTAAAAATGAAATTATCCACATTAATACTTTTTTTGAGCTCCATCTTTCCTTGAACACACAATTTGGAAGCACGTGCTAGAAAGTTTCCGTAAAAAAATTATAGCTTTCTTAAGATACCCCAAACAATGATTTCAAACCTGTGGGCCAGATCCTGAAGTAAACTGAAGTAGTGCCATTGACTTCAATAGAACTATATTGATTTACATCAGCTGAGACTATTATTGAGGACCCAGGGTAAAATTTTCAAAAGTGACTTGAAGCCTAAGTCCTATTTTCAAAAGTGACTTAGGCACTTTGCACCCAGAGTCTCTTAAAAAGTCAATAGGTCTTTGGCTGCTAAGTGTCTAAGTCCCAATCATAGAAAAGTAGGGCTGGAAGCGACCTCAAGAGTTCATTTAGTTCATCCCCTTGCACTGAGGCAGGATCAAGTAATTCTAAACCATCCCTGACAGGTGTTTGTCCAACCTGTTCTTAAAAACCTCCAATGACAGGGATTACACAACCTCCCTTGGGAGCTTATTCCTGAGCTTAACTATTCTTAGTTAGAAAGTTTTTCCTAATATCTAACCTAAAACTCCTTTGCTGAAAATGAAGCCCATTACTGCTTGTCCTGCCCTCAGTGAACAAAGAGGACAATTGATCACTGTTCTCTGTAAGGAGGGATATGGAGAAGGAAAGGGCAGATGCTCAGCATAGAAGAGGGGATAAGCATTTTCAAGAGCCAGGGAACATAAATAAAAGCATAAAACAAAGAGTGGGATGAGGACACAAGGGATTTGTAGGTGGGGAGGATTCAGCAGTGCATAGGGACTGAGAGAGAGACTCTGAGGACATCAGTGCAAACGCATGGATGGTCTTGAAAGTGAGGCTAAGGAGTGTGAACTTGATGTGGAAACAGAAAGATGCGGAAGGGCTTTGAAGGGGAGGGGAACGTGGTCAAATATTGGGAAAGGAAAATTATCTTAGTATTTGGAATAAACTGATCTGCAATAGCAATCAGTGAGATTGATGATAGCGATTGGGGGATGTATGCATACAGGAAAAGACTAATACTTCTGGCCTCACCTTGGTACCATCTCTCCCTGGTGCCCCCGGTGGACCCTGCAAGACAAAGGAATGGTTTTCACAAGAATGGAAAGGTTTGTGTGTGCCTGTGGAGGGTGGGAGGTCACACTGCATGTTCTTGACAGGAAAGTAAAATACTGACCACTGGGCCCCGTCTGCCCTGCTTAATATGTGATATGTCAGGCGATGGTCCAATGGGTCCCATTGATCCTCTAGGACCTGGTTGGCCTGGAGGTCCAGGTGAGCCAGGAAATCCTGGACTTCCTTTTGGTCCCGGGGCCCCTATAAGTTAAAAGTGATCCAGTGAAGGTTAATACCCAGTTAGAGATTTTCTGTTAGTATATCAATATAAGCAGCAAAGTATACAATTTCCCTAATGGATTCCCCTTTTCCTTTCTCTCTTTTCTTTAAAATAATACTTCACTGATTAGCTGCAGTAATTCCACAAAACCAAAACACAGCAATAAGGCAGTCAGGGACAATGACATTATTCAGAGCAACAGCACCTTTCTTCACTTTCATCCCCGGATCTCAATGTGCTTCACAAACATTAATTAAGGAAACCCCATGAACAGAACTAGACCACAACTGCTATCAGACAGGTGGTCAGGGATATCAAGAGTGGGAAGTGAAGGGAAAAGCAGAAATGTCTCAATACTAACACAACACAGAGCAAATGGGCAAGTTAAACTAAAGAAAAACCTCTTGTAAAAAAGGAAGCATCAGCAAACTTGCAGCCATGGAGGTGTGACGTTGCACTCCATATGCTTTATGAAAATATGCTTGGAATGTGAATATAATGTAACTGGAATATTCTTTATGCAAAAGGTCTCTTGTAAGGTATCATTCAAAAGCTTATAATCTACTGAGTGTGTTCATCCTATTTGTATGAATGTATCATTCTTGTATCTAAACCTAGAAATATGAAGTATTACTCTGAGGTCCTATTGTAATTATGCAAAGTGTGGGCCATTGATGGTGTTTTTCCATTTAGAAGGAGGGTGGGGATCCAGAGAGACAAAAGATTCCCGCCTTGTGCCAAAGCTATAAAAGGTGGGTAGAACAGAACAAAGGGGGCTGCCAGTCATGAGAAATCGCCTAGTTACCACCTGAGCTGGAACTAACAAGGACTGTACAAGGGGAAAGGATTGGGCCCAGACTAGGAAGGAGTCTAGTCTGTGAAAGAAGCTTATTGGGACATCTCTGAAGGTGAGATTTACCTGTATTCAGTTTCTTAATGTATTAGGCTTAGACTTGCGTGTTTTGTTTTATTTTGCTTAGTAACTTACCTTGTTCTGTCTGTTATTACTTGAAACAAATTAAATCCTACTTTTTATACTTAATAAAATCACTTTTGTTTATTAGTAAACCCAGAGTAAGTGATTAATACCGGGGGGGGGGGGGGCGAGCAAACAGCTGTGCATCTCTCTCTCTCTCTATCAGTGTTATAGAGGGTGGACAATTTATGAGTTTACCCTGTATAAACTTTATACAGAGTAAAACAGATTTATTTGGGGTTTGGATCTCATCGGGAGCTGGGTGTCTGGGTGAGATAGGTGACTTGCTGAGCAGTTTTTGGTTAAAGTCTGCAGCTTTGGGGGAGTGGACCAGATCTGGGTCTGTGTTGCAGCAGACTAGTGTGTCTGGCTCAACAAGGCAGGGTTCTGCAGTCCCAAGCTGGCAGTGAAAAACAGGCTCAGAGGTAATTCCAGCACATCATGTGACAGCCTCAAGGGGGTCTCTGTGACTGAACCCGTCACAGGTGAATTTAAAGCTCTACAGAGGAGAGGCACAGAAACAATTAGGACTTTCAAGTTTAGCCCACTTTTATTGGTGATGTGTTGCATCTTTCTTCTACCTGATACATGAGCAGAAACGTGTACTGTTCTTCCATTCCACTTCTTATACTCATCAGCTACCAGGTGACTGTTGACTCAGTACAAAATATACTTTTAAGAGGCAAAGCAAGACAAATTAAGTATATATAGGTCAAGAGAAACATTGCCTTTCTTTGCCTCTCACAAGTAGACATCATGTCTGAAACAAACAATGTTCACATAATAAGCAACACTAATATAGTATTTGGTTGAACTGCTTTATAACCAGCAGATGATACATTCCTCTTCATAGTGCATGGACATGGGGGGCACAAGAAATGAAAGTCAAACAATGAAGTGGAAAACAGAACTAAAAATGTTTATGATTAGGGTTTGCAAAGGAGCCAGACACCCAACTCCCAGTGTGTCATTCCATTTGAAAATTCCAGCCTACTTGATCACTAATCACATAGGAAATAGGTTAGCAGAGATAGTTTTCAACTAGAAAAAGATAATTCTACAGTACCTTGGACAGCGCAGGTCATTGAGAAACTAGATGGAAGAAGTATAGAGACTAGAGTCAAGCCTTGTTCAGAATGATTTCAAGAAGATAATAAACAGTACATTGCAGTCAGAGTCTTAGCCAGAAGAAGGGTCTAAAATGATATTGTCTTTGCACTGATGACATACCGTAGACTGAAGACAATCTCCTCTAAGAAAATAAAGCAAAGATTTCTTCTACTCAGAGAATAAAAGAGACAGTAATGATAGGAATCAATTAAGTAGATAAGAAATCAAACCAACTAAGGAATACAGCTAGAGCTCTGCAAAACTTCCCAGTGAAACCCAGAACCAGATAAAACTCTCTTGGGTTTATTACTAATGCAAAATTAGACCTAAGTTAATCGAAGTTAGTGAATCTTTTAACATATTTGATCTTAGCTTGAAGGTATCAGAGCTGAAATATAGTTTTATAAACTTTGTGATTTCTCATGGTTTCAACCCCAAATGAGACAAAATGCAGTGTCAGTGGAGTTTTGTTTTTGTTTTCTAATGCGTTTGAATCCAGAAATCGGCACTAAACCAGTGAATGAATCCATGCAAAAGTATCATAGGAAAAAGGTTTGTTTGAACCCTTGCAAATTAAAAGCACATTTCCTATTGCGCTAATGAGAATGGGCTAAAGTAACAGGCATTTCTGAAATGAGGTGAAGACAGTTTCAGGCTGAAGAAATGGTGACTGAAATATATGAGACACCCCAGGAAGAGATGGGGGAAAAAAACATCTATAGGACTAGTATGTTTTAGATGTGAGGAAATGTTTGATGAAGAGAAAATGGGAAAGGCATAGAAGGCACTGTCAGATTGTGATGTGGTGGATTGGCAGATAAAACCAATTTTAAAAGAAAAATGTTGCACACTTAGAATCATATTAAATGAAAAGCTTTTTGTTCATATCACTATTTTATATTTGATTTCTCCTGGCTTGCATCTTACCTGGAGGGCCTTGGTGTCCTGGTTGCCCGGGGGGACCTGGTATATAGGCATTAGATGCAAGCACCTTTTCACCAGTGATTTGTTTGCTAAGGTCAGCAGCGTTGTTTGGTAGCAAAGCAACCTGAGGGGGGGAAAAGAGAAAGGGTTGTAAATCCACTCTAGTTCCCCAATTTCAATTACAAGCCTTGTTAAGTTTCTCTGGAAACAAAGTGAGTGAAACTTTAAAGGTCTCGATGCAGATGAAGTATTTACTACTAATATTCTCACTATTATTTATATTATGGCAGTTCCCAAAGGCCCAGTCAGGTTTGGGGTTCCCTTGTACTAGTTGCTGTACAGACACAAACCAAGACATATTTCCCTGCTTCTAGGTGCTTACAGTACCAGGCCCCAATCCTGCAATACTAGACTGCGTAAGGGCAGACTGCTGTGCTAGGGTGCAGCCCCCCTGATGACTGTGGGGCTCTGCCTGGGCACAACTGCCTGCTCACATGTTGTTCATTGCAGGATCAGGACATATTTTAAGACAACAGCCAACAAGTGAGTGCAGCAAACGATGCAGAAGGAAGGGGGCAGAAGGGGAAGAAAGAGGGCTACAGCAATAAGATCTCATGGCTACACAGCCTGGCAATGTGCATCGCTTGATGGCCCCAAATCACTGAAACTTTAGAAACGTGAATAATTTAAACTATTCCCTATCAAACCATAACCCTGTTGTTGTGACCCCTTTATGTTTGCTCTGCACACCCTAGCCCCAAAGAAGTGACCCGTTGGCGCATGGCTGATTATTTCTGTATTATTAATTTACTCATTCATTTATGTGTTTGCTTCCCTCTTCTGCATAGACTCCCCCCATCTGTCCCTTTATCCAGCACCGTTAGTTCATTTAAATATACGTGAACTGTCCTCACAGCTCCCTCAGATGGCTTGCCTCGCCCTGTACAACCCCTGCCCCCATCTGCCCCACATGGGACTGTGAGGTCACTATGGCCCTTAGTGTTTCTCCACTCTCTGCTGCTGTCTGGGGGTGGTGGCAGATAGCTGCAGCTACCAGGGTCCACTGATCAGTTCAGCATGTGCTATGATATCATGGCAGACTGGGGCTATGAAGATGCTGGTGGGACCTGCCCATCATCTCTAACTCCCCTTCCCTTTCCCATCCCTGTCACAACCCAAGGTTCATCTCCACTGCAGCTGGCAACATGCTTCCCAGAGCCGGTAGACAGACACACGCTAGTTCTGCTTGAGCTAGTGTGCTAAAAATAGCAGTGTAGCTGGGGCTACCACAGGTGACTGCTCCGAGAACAAACCCGCCCAGACCTCCTGGGTATGTACTCAGGCAGCTAGTCTAAGCCGCCACCCATGCTATCCCCTGGCAAATGTGCTACTTTCAGCATACTCCCTTGAACAGAACTAGCATGTGTTTTTCTACCCACATTGGGAAGTACCCTCCCAGACACACTGCAAGAGTCAGTCTCCCAGTCCCACAAAACAGCTCATAGAGCTCCGAATGGCAGATCACATCAGGGCTACAGAGGCTGTACAAGAGTTGTCGCCTAGAGCTGCTGGAAGAGGGCAGGAGGCTGCTGGGACCGTGTGTTCCCTAAGGGCTGGTCCATCCCCTCCCTGCTGGTAGCCACCACTGCTGCTGTTGAGTTTCTCCTTCCTGGAGGTTGCTAGGGCCTTCTGAAAGGACCACTTCCCTCTCCCGCTGTGAAATTCTGTGGAAGAGTCCAGATGATGTGGGGCTGCTGGGAGGGACAGGGAATTGCTGGGGCCATGTGCCTCACTGCCTTTCTTCGGGGGATGGGGGAGGAAGAGGAACTGAGTGGGGGGCAACTCAATTAGGCGCCTTTTCCTGTTCTGTGGATGGTTTTGCAGAGGTAGGCCTCTCCTCTACCTTCCAGCTAGAGATGTGGGAGATCCCAGAAGCGGGAAAGAGGGGATCCTAGGTGATGATTCAGGCCCAAACTATCATATATCCGGTAGGGAGAGACCAATGGTATTTACTCTGAAAGGCTGGTGAACAACGCAAATGGGGAGAAAGTAGAGAAGTAACAACAAATTTCTTTAAATTGGATGAAGTCTCATTAACTCGCCAGTCTCATGAGGAAACATCTCTCCTTCTGCCTTGCCTGCACTAAATCTCTTCCTTTCCCTCTCCCTCTGTTGTTCTTTAACCCTGTAACTGTAGGATTTAACTCAGAAAAGTGTTCTGGATACACTCTGTATGAAAGTAGCTGAACAAAACAAAGTTGGACTGTATGACGAGATGCACCCTGTGTATCTGAAGTGCTGTTATGCATTAAACACTAGGCACCCTTGTCTAGATAATAACATTTAACAATGAAATGTTTTTAAAGATATTCTGAAAACTTCTGTCCCCCAAAAATTGGCCCAGGGGAGACAACAATCATCCCAACCGATCTGCAGCCAAGAAAGTTACTAGCTGGGAGTGACCACAGGTGGAGTTGGGAATTTTGCTCTACCAAACCGAATTTAAAGAATGTTTTAAAGATACTTCGGGCAAATTCATTCCTGGTGTAACTCCGTTGACCTCCTGGATGAATTTGACCGACTGGCTATTTCAGTGTTTGATTCCTTCACATTTGCATTAGAGAGCTGTATTCTAAAGCATAATGATTCTTGTTATCTGGCATTAATTTGACCAGCCACGTGGAATTCATTGAATTAGATGGTCTCAAGATTCCTCTAGTTATTGCTATCAATTGTTGACATATACTCACCTGCCAATGGTATAAATCTAAGGCTATTAATGTAAGGAGATGGTAACGCTATGTGCCTGTAATATGCAGCAACTTTTATGCAAGGCTCTCCATCAAGGGATGGGGGCATTTTGCGAGTATTAATGACTTAAGCCTGGGATGGAACTAAGTGTTAGTGTCTATTTTACAGCCAGGTATATTGAGACAAAGGCAAGTCAAATGACTCGCCATACGTCACACAACAAGTCAAAGCCACCGGGGGCCAGGTCACTTCCTCTCCTCTCCTTCTCACCCATTGTAATGCCCCAGTATCTACAGCCTTAAGGCTGCAGCCAAGGCAGAGAGAGAGGAAATAGGACCAAGTATCCTAATTTTGTTTCTTTAAAGAAAAGAAGAGAACTGTATTTTCGAGGAATGGGAGTGTGTGTGTAGAAGGATTTGCTCATCTGACACTGGTCACACCTCACCTGATGAACCCCTGGCTCAGCTCCTTGTTTGAGGCCTGTTTTAGGGCTGTCAACCAGGGACAGTGATTGTGTAACCCAATCCAGTCTCTCCCTGTCTGTTAATCAGCCCGCTAAGCCTTCTTGCTGTTCACGCTCAGTGGCTTCAATGATGTCATTCCACAACATCTGGTTGCCACATACAGCAGCTGGGCTGTCTGGAGTCTAAAGGTTTTTCTTTACTGCAGAGCTAACGCAGGCTCTGACTCGGGTGTTGTCCCTAATCTGGCTCCCGTCCACACACCACACCTCTCAGTGGAGTGTGGTGGTGCTTTACACCTCAGCTAGCTTGTCTGTCCTGGGGCACAGGCTAAAACTCAAGTGCAGCTTACACTCTGGGAAGAGGGAGGAGTTGAGTGGTCAGGATTGGATAGATCTTTCCCAGGAGCCCCAGAGGAAGTGCACATGCTGGCAGGGCTTTGTACTTTTATTCTTTGTTTTAAATTAAAATATTTGCACTTCCCTAATCAATTAATTTATGGCTTGCAGTTGTGCCAGCCGCTATTTTAGCTATTACCCAAGGATTGAACCTTGGACCTCCAGAGCCAAAAGGATGAGTTGCTACAGCTTGAGCTAAATAACAAGGTTCCGTGGGAAGGGGTCTGTAACAGACCCCCAGCCTCTGTGGATTAAGCATAAAGAAGAACACATAACACGCACTGATCAAGGGGTTATACAAGCTTGTATCTTGGGCTGTGATCTCTCATAAGGCGTGAGTGGGGTCATGCTACCACTTGGTTGGGAAGCATAGAAGAACCATCTAAATGCTGCAGGAAGTGACAGTGGTGACTCTGTAAATGAAATTCTTCTCTCTGGGTAGGTCTACACTTACCTCCGGGTCCAGCAGTAAGCAATCGATCTTCTGGGATCGATTTATCGCGTCTTGTCTAGACACAATAAATCGATCCCGGATCGATCCTGGAAGTGCTCGCCGTCGACACCGGTACTCCAGCTCGGCGAGAGGAGTACGCGGCATCGACGGGGGAGCCTGCCTGCCGCGTCTGGACCCGCGGTAAGTTCGAACGAAGGTACTTCAAATTCAGCTACGTTATTAACGTAGCTGAATTTGCGTACCTTAGTTCGAAATGGGGGGTTAGTGTGGACCAGGCCTCTGTGTAGGT